GATGACGATTGAGAAGACGTTCCATTACATGACCACGAAGAAGTTCGAATAGAAATCGTCCGCTTAAAAATCTACAAAGCGGCTAGAGCTGACGGCCTACCGGCAGAACTATTCAAACATGGCGGTGAAGAGCTGACAAGGTGCATGCATCAGCTTATTTGCAGAATATGGTTAGACAAGTGCATGCCCGAAGATTGGAATTTAAGACTACTCTGCCCTATCCATAAAAAAAAGGGGACCCTACAGTCTGCGCAAATTACCGTGGGATAAGCCTCCTTAACATCGCCTATAAGTTCCTGTCGAGCGTATTATGTGAAAGACTGAGGCTGACACCAGAATAGTAAGAGCTGCAGAGCTGAAAAGAGAAGATACAATCTTCTATGAAAGTGTACTACTACTGGCGTACGCCGATGATATTGACTTTTTTGGCCTGAAAGAAGCGAGACGAATGGGCTTGGTAGTGAACAAGGACAAACAGTCATCGCTTTCGCAACTTGGCTCCCACGTCACTGTTGACAGTCATAATTTTGAAGTAGTAGATAATTTCTTCTATCTAGGATTCAGCATCAACACAAACAATTGAGTCCAACGCAGAATCTTTCTTGCCAACAGGTGCTACTCTGGACTGAGTAGGCAATTAAAAAGTAAAGTCCTCTCCCGACGAACGAAAACCAAGCTCTACAAGACCCTCATCGTTCCCGTCCTGTTATATGGTACGGTAACATGGGCGATGACAATACCTGATGCTTCGGCGTTAGGAGTTTTCGAGAGACAAGTTTTACATTAGATTTGTGTTCCTTTGCGCATTGCCAACGGCGAATATCGCATACGATGGAACGATGAGCTGTATGAGTTATTCGGCGACATTGATATAGGTCAGCGAATCAAGAAGCAGCTGCTACGCTGGCTAGGTTATGTAGTCCGGATGGATGCGAATACTCCAGCTTTGGAAATTTCGATGCAGTACCCGCCGGTGGAAGAGGAAGCCCTTAACTCCGGTGGAAAGACCAGGTAGAGATGGACCTGGCTATACTTGGTATTTCCAATTGGCCCCAAACGGCAAAAAAAAATTTGTTATATCGGCCATAATCGTGTAAGCGGTGTCTGCGCCAGTAAAGTAAGTATGTAACTAAGTTTAGCTGTGGGCAAATGTTTGGTTTCATTGCTGCGTGCGTGGTGTGTTGTTACCTTGGCTGTATTCTTCTGAGCGTGGGGGTATGGCTGATTCCTGTTGATGTTGAGGGTCTGTCGTCTGCTTTTTCCACTACGGTCGTAGCATGTGCTGTCGATGAGAGGTGTTTTGAGTATGTATAGAATACTGAGTGATGACGTTTTTGGCAGTAAACACAGGCGAATTCGCTTTGACTTTGACCTAGCGGGTGTGAACAGGAAAGACAATTTTCACAGTTATTGTTTTCACGAACGAATTCTAGTCGATCTGCGAAGGGAAAGGTTCCTAAAACGGATGAAAATTTTTATCCGGTGGCTAGAGTTGCATAACTTGCAAGATACGGGTTTTTAGATGATAGGTTTGCAAGTAACGTGGGGTTTTGGTTCACGTAGGTGATATGGTCCCAGTCGTTTTACTACCTCGTATCTACTGGTCAGGAACTGAGAGATTGCTCCCAAAGCGCGAGTGCTTTGCTCGGGAGTTTCGTAGAGCATATATTGCATTTTGTGATGTGAGATAGAAGAGGCAGCTATTTAAGGTAGTCTGCAGTTTTTGTAGCTGCTCCCCGTTCTTAGCGTACTTCTGCTCTACTGACACGCTGACTTCCGGATACGCATACGCCATAAATATTGCCTCGTATGCTTTTAGAAGGCTGTCCCAAATTTTGTCCAGCTGCTGTATTTTAACGCGTAGTAGAGCTTTCGGTTAGTCAATTGCCGAATCAGTTGACCATTTTCAGCAGAGGACCTCCAGCCTAATTGTTTCGAAGATGAACTTTTGCAGGTATTCATTCATCTTGCTCGATGCCGTCTTCTCTTCTGGCATATTATGAATATTAAGTATTTATGTTATTGGGTTAACGAAAAAAAAATTAAATTTGTATTGGGTGGGTTTTGTAAAAAAAAAATGTAAAAAAAAAACTGGGTGAGTTTTTTTAAATATATATTGTATGTATAATTTGTCTCAGCATGTCTGAGTGCAAATATGTGGGTGTGTATGCGGAAATATAAAATATTTAGAAAAAAAATTTTTTTTTTCGAAAGTGTATATTTATTTCCAAATTAATTTCTTTGGAATAATTGGGTTTTGCTAATAATGTTTATTTTGAAATTATTCACTTTTGTCCTACTGGACAAAAGTGTAATAATTTTTGGTCGGGGCCCTCTGTGTGTCTTAAGCTCCGCGTCCCTTTGTTTATTTTGTCCTCAGCGTGTCTGAGTGCAATATATTTGATGTTTCTGAGTGCGTTTAAGTGGAAATGAAATGTGTGTGCTGCGCTATAGCGGGATCGAGCTTTGCACATACGTTTATATACACGTATGTACAAATATATTACGTTGTATGTATGTTGAGTTATGCGCTGAGTGTGAATTTTTCTCAGAGAGAGATAAATGGATAATTTGAGGGAGTTGCTAACGGTGAATTTCTGGATGGGAAGTTTTTGGTGTACAAACCTATACAGCTAACGACAATAAATCCAGAAAGTTTATGTCTGAGTAATATTAGCTATAAGCTATTTATATGTATGCATGTACTTATATAGCTGTTAATTGAGGGAATGGTTACCGTAACCTTTCTGTCTAAAATTTTATACCAACTAGTACAGTTGTCGTTAATTTTTCCAGAACTTATTTCTGTGGCAACTGTATATACATATACATATATATGTAAATATATTTTGTTACAAACTTGGGGTATTCACTACGCTTCGTTGGCGGGTTTTCGGTAACGTTGGTTCGTCCTGGTCGTTGTTGTTAGTGGTGCTGCGACTTGGTTGTTGTTGATGCGACCTTTTCTCGCTTCGCTTTTTTCTTTGTTTGTTCGTTTTCTCACTACACCAATGGGCGATATTTTCATATGCGAAACGCCTTCTTTTTTTTCTCTTCACAAATATCTTATGTTCATGTGGTTTTTGGTCGGGTATTTGCGTTTTTTTGTTTTTGAGACTCGCACTAAATAATTTTTCAATTAATTTTTATCTTTACCAATTTTGCCCTGCGGCGTTCATATGAAATATGTACGGTTGATTTTCTCGAAACGTTATAAATTTGGGTTTTGTATTTGGTAATAATTTATTTTACATGCGTATGCTTTACATATGTATTTTTATTTTTTGGTGAACTCCTTTGAAAATAACATACAATATTAAAATGTCAACACAATATATTAAATGATTTTTGAGTTATAGCAATTTAAAGAGCGAGCAACCGCTCGGCAGCTAGAGAGTCTCATTAGCTACAAGTGAAAACGATCATTTTATCTTTAAACGCGTTTTTCTCGAAACAGCATTTTCCGAATTTGCTGCAGTGATTGCTCAAAAACAAATGTCCCGATCACTATCGAATTTTTTTACATGTGCTATTTATAGTTCTCCGTACAATGACCTATCGATTTTTGATCTGATCAAAAAATCGAATTTTGGCTGGCCAAAAACGACCAACACTTGTGGGTCAAATTGGACTATTATTTCATTGTACAGACTAGTTGGGAATTTTTGTTTAGATTTCATCCACGGAGGAGGCCGGAATCACTGTAGCAGTGAAGGACTTCTTTTTCGCGCCGTTGAAGATCGACTATAACTTAAAAAATATCCAATTTTTTCCTTCAAAAATTTCGTTGTATATTCTTAAAACTTTCAAATAATTGATACAGTATTCTTTTAGAAAAAATTCCCAAAAATCATATTTTTTTAGGCCATTACACTGGGTGTGCCCCTTAAGTTATGTGATATTCAAACTTGGTTTAGATACAAAGTTAGAACAGAGTTGTTTCTTAAAAGTTCATTGAATATAAAAAAAAATGGAACAAGTATAAATTTAATTTCAAAACCGCGGAGCGATGCAAGCTTCACGACGTCGACGTGTGGCGGGCTTAAAAACTATTAAAAAATGATTGGGTCTCTGATCACTACTTTAGCCGGTTGGTTAATAGAAAAAGGTGTTGCTGGTGCGGAACGTTAGCAGCATTGGACGAAATATGGTGCCCACATGGACCTTGTATTGCTTTCTTGGTTGGTTTGTCAAATTCCGTTCGGGAGATTTTTCATTCAAAGATATGCCAGGTTTAAGTCGGCCAAGTGAAGTTGTTGATGATGATATCAAGGCTTTAACCGAACCGGATCGTCATGTAACTGAGCGTGAGATTAGAAAGAAGTTAAGTAAGCCAACGTCAACCGTCCATAATCATATAAGACGCCTTAGGCTGATATAAAACTTGATATTTGGGTACATCATGAATTGGAAGAAAATCACTTAACAAACCACCGCGTGTAATATGCGTCTGAAATGAAGTATGGATTGTTTACAATAACGTTAATCGAAAACGATCCAAGCAATGTGAAGCGCCACAAACTAAACATCAAAAGAAGATTACCCTGTCTGTTTAGTGGGACTGGAAGTGTGTGGTGTATTTTGAGATACTTTCTAAGAACCAAACGATTATTTCACCAGGACAAAGGTGGACCGCACACATCTATGGTCACTCCCAACAAATTGAGAGAGCTTGGCTGAGAACTGTTGTTGTGTTAACCGTATAGCCCTGACCTTGCACAGTCAGACTACCATTTGTTTCGATCTTTGTAGAACCCATTAAATAATACAACTTTCGAAAATGAAAAGGTGCGCACTTAGTTAAATATTTTGCAGATAAAGGCCAAAAGTTCTATGCGTGGAATAATGATGCTGGCGGAAAGATAAAAAAGGTCATCCAACAAAATGGACATTACATGATTGATACAAGTTAATTTAAAAAAATGTATTTACTTTCTTTTAAAAATTCGCCCGTTTATTTTGGGGCAACCCAATAGATATGTATATATAAACATATGGTTTCTTTATGATTATTAATTATACAATATAAACAAACTTTAATAATTTGTTTGCGACACAACCTTCGTATCGAGTTCTAGCGAGATAATATAAGATGTGTAATTTTAATTTATATTATTACTTAAAAACTATTTACATTCGTGACAGAGAAAGAAGAGGACCGGATTGCAGGTGAGTATTTAAGGTAAGTTATTTATAGTTTAATAATGAATAACATTAAATTTTCATCATTGAACCCAAGTTTTCAACAATCCCTTTTTTTAACATTTGTATCTAGTAATACTACTTTTAACGTCTACGATTCTAATCTTTGTGAAATATCTATTATATATATATTCGTCGCGCAAGCTATGTCCTTTTACTGGATTCTATATATCCATATCCATTTGATTGTTACATTATGCAGAAAGATGTTGTTGTCAAGGCTTAGTCTCGAATTAGTGTTTAAAAGCCAAGGAAACAAAAAGATTTACGTTTAACCTGCAGCTCTTTAGCAAAACTGTGCCGTCTTTAGGTCAAGTGCCTGTCCTAGTGGATTTCCAGGTACGTAATTTGATTGGAGGAATTGGAACATGGTTGAGCTTAACAGTAGGGCATGTTTTTGGTTACAATGTAAATGTTATGTGTTTTCACATATTTTCATTAACTTACATGCGTCATTTTGCCAGTTAATCGCTAATTATTTTACGGTGCTGATGTAGCACTTTTTGGCTGTAATTTGGAGCTTTTACCGATTCATTATAGCAGTATCATCCGCAAAAGGTCACGTACTTTACAATTAAATACTTTGCTACTTGTATGAATATCTGCAATGAACAGTATACGTGTATACAATGTTGGTCTAAGAACACCTGCCCTGCGGAACACCTGCCGTAATTGTATACTTCTCTGTTATGTATTCATTTACTTAGCTATCATAATTATATGCGAAGTTTTTTAGTAAATTCGTTGGGATATAATCGTATCAAGAATTTTTTTTAGATGTGATGCAGATGTTTTGAAAGAACTAGTGTACCTCTCGATATCATTATTAGCTGACAGGAGCGCATTATTATTTAAATCAGTGTTTGCTTGTTAGTTGTTGTTTTGTCGCTGGTTTCTAACCAGCAACTCAATGTTACTGTGAATTAGCGTTGTTCGAGTTTTTAACTGCTATGGTGTTGCTAAGTTCACTGTTGTCGCTAGCATACTGTTATATATAAGTACCTCGTTATCAACGTCAGTTTCACTTTCACAATTACGCCTGTCAGTTTGGAATGTTATAAAATGAAAAACATATATATATGCTTTAGTTTTGGCTACTTCAAAGTCTACTATATTAAGTACCTCCTTGTGTTTGTTTGGACAAATTGTTGGTTCTCATGGACGTATTATAAAACTGGCGAACTTTTTTTCGATTTGTAATCTCCTACAGTCAATAGTCTATTTACAATAAATTGTTTCTCTTCTATTACCAAACGTGACTGACAGTATACTGCGGTCGAAGCTGACTGCATCCAAATTGTTGCATAAGAGTCAAGAAAACGTTTTTTTTAAGTACAGTTGTAACACCATTGGCTTTTCCATCCGGGCGATTAATAATGTACAATTCATAGTCAGTGATATAAAAGTTATACCAAGCGGTAAGGTGTATTTCCGATATGAGAATACCAAAAATTTTATGACTCTGTAGAAATAATTTGGGGGTTATTCGTGCGAACTAACACCAACAGCATTCACTATATTCATTCGCAAATTTTTTAGTCATCAGAGCTTGGAGTATCTGGTTTTTCATATTTATTAGGCCATGGACAATAGTTTGCATGGTTGTTATATATTGAGTCATGCACAGAGTTAAATTGCCAATCATAGCTTCAATGTAATGTAATGGTCCAGTATAAGAAATGATTAACGCAAGTATCGCGCCCACTAATATAAGTCGTAACTAAAATAACATTTAAATATAATTGCGTTTTACTTGAAAACTTTTCGTTGACGTATTATTCAAAGAGCAGTTACTAGAATACACACATAAAATTGATTTTATATTTTTGATCAATACTAAAATTAAAGACAGGATGATATAATTTATAAAAAGGATTATTAAGTAGTTATTTAATTTGAAGCAGTTCAGTTCTTTTCCAACTCTTAGCATTTAAGTTGAAATTTTTTATGACTAGTTTAAGTTGTAAGCATTGCACAAAACTTCTTATATTGTTTATATGGATATCTATACATACGAGGTCTGTTCAAAAAAAAATTGAGTTTATAAGTGGTACAAGCGCTGAGGTGATAACGATCATGCCATGCAATTCAATCGAATGGGCATAAAATGGGTGGCAGCGATGATCGTTCCAGAAATGTTATTAAATGACGTTCGCTACAATCCAGGTTTGCTCGAAAGGGATATAACTGGTGACAAAACGTGGATATATGGTTATGACGTCGAAACCAAGGTAAAATCATCCCACTGGAAGCGGCCAGATAAGCCAAGACTAAGCTAATGTGTTACAACTTAAAAAAAACTATCCATAATCGAATGCATACATCCCGCGAAAATTTAGATTTTCTTTCATATAAATATATCTGTTTAAGATTGTAATTATTAAACAATTTTCCAGTTCATAACTCATCTCATATATTAATACATATATTAATAAATTTTTTATACATACATACAATAAATAAGTTAGTCGTTATAAATACATTCAATATACATAGGTACACAATATTAATGTTGTAATAAGATTACAAATAGTTAATTATACAGCATAATTCATAACCATAAGTAATGAAAGTAGTTTTGGCTAAACTTTCAGAATCATTTTAATCTAAAATGTGTATATCTGTATATAAACAAGTTGTTGGCACGCTTGGTTACATTTATTTTCATCCGGCTGGATACCGTTGAAAAGCTTGTTGTTATTGTTTTTGAAATACATTTTCGGAAGGTAACTGAACATTTACGAGAGATCTAGGAAATCCTTTGACTGTGTTTACATTGTATCGTCTATTACTTTGTTCATATGCCAGCAGTTCACGAGCTGCTGAGTTCATTTCCTCCAAAGTCATGTCTAATGCTTCTTGTATTTCTCGTGTAGCTTGACCTACAAACTCTGAATCACAATATTTACCAAGTCCTTCTGCAACGAGCACCTACGAAATATATATAGCCATAATTAATACAAAGGAAGTATTATACAATATCCTTGTTTTTATACTAATTAATACAGAAAGTAACAACTAATATTCTACGAAAAGTAAACAAGGCAAACAGTGTTGCCTATTGTTATTGGGCAAGTTAATTTAATTTTAATCTCTTTAATGGACTGGGTTTTTTATGTCGATTTCAGCCATTATAAAATAAATTACCAACATTCACGTTATTATAGATTAATTTTTTTTTAACAATGATAGCGATATTAATAAATGTGTTAATTTGCGAAGCAATTTTCTAAGGAAAAACTGTAATGATTGGAATTATTATTTTTTTTTTAAATTTATTGGAAAGTTCTATCATTGATTATGAGCTTATAATATTGTTCTGCAGCGAAGTCTTCGAGAAGATATATTATATTTGCAGTGGTTGATTTTGCCATGAATAAATTTTTGATTTGCCTCAATCAAGTTTCATTTATACCTAATTTACATCTTCATCTTGATATATGTGGATTCTTCAAAAGCACTTTATTTACTCAAACAATCCGACTATTTTTGCTTAAGGTTCAGAGCTCTGAATCGTAAGGAACGCGGGTCAAGGTTTATATAGTGGTATTTATAGCACAGCTTATCAGTGTCTCATGTTTTTGCACAAGTGAAGAAAATTTACTTTTTATTTTTCTAAAAAAGCTCTTCAAGAAGATATTTTCTGTAATGCTCATGGAGGTGACAACTACAGCTTTATCTCAAAAAGCACAACTAAACAAAAGGAGACAAAACCATATTCTGTAAACGGAAAGTGGAGAAGTACCTCGAAGAGATCTTGAAAGCAGTGCCAATGCAGGATGTGAAAAACGATAGTCCGCCAATTGTAGCCATCCACGAGAAGAAATTTAAGCGTAATAGTGACGGACCTTCAAATCAATCCAAGCTTCTCCCCCAATTTTTGGTATACGGCTTGATATTTTCCAATTAATGGAAGGACCTTCAGTGAATACTAAGCCGTCTCCGAATTGCTGATGTTATTTTTTTTATTAGGACCCTATATTTCAAACACACTCGGAGGGGTTGACATTCTCTGCCAAGGGGCGACTGCAGTTAGAAAAATTAGCCAAATTTTTTATATAAATTAATTTTCTATAATTTTTAGATGTCGGTCGTACACGGACTCGAACTTTGGGCTTTCGGATGGCAGCGTAGAATGCTAACCACTCGGCTCCCGCGGCATTATGCTATCATGCCTTGTGGTGAATGTGCACCACCAAAAGAACTCCATACATTGACCGCGAATATCCATTGTCTGAGACAGAGAAGATGTAAACGAAAGTACCAATATTATGGCTTAACATCTAATAATTACGGTGAGGTTTTAAAAGTTGGTTAGTGCCTCTTACTTTGTTGATGCAAACAAGACTTTAAGCGTATTTTTTTTAGCAACATTTGTATTTATTTATTGAATCTTCTTCAACATCGATATCTTTACAATCAGGATTTAATTAAAATTAAATATGACAGCCCAATAAAGAGGAGTGAGCTCCTGGCTCGCGTTTGAGTTGTTGCGGAGGCCGAGGTTTTAGCTGAAAGGTTCGGATGAATGTTAAGTTTTGTTACGTTTTTTGCTTTACGATTTGAATAACTTCTTTGAAGGTGCGTATATTTATATCCATACGCCCGTTATCATGGCTAATGATTTCAATTGAAATTTCTGTATTATATCTACTCGTCTATTCGAAGCGCACGCTATGCCTCACAACTGGTTTCCGTACATCCACTTCACTTGTAGAAATACTACATTGCGTAACACTTGCCATGATCGGATACTCTTCTGATATGTAGTTCTTTACATGTACAAGAGATCGTCTATTAGTCACGTAAGATTCCAGGTTATTATTGAATGTATCTCGTAATAATTGTTTTATTTTGCGAATAAGTTCTTAATACCACACCTTGACAAATACTCTCTGAATTCGGAAGCTTTTCTTATTTCAATTGGTATGCGATTTACTTGTTCAATTGTGCCAAGTTTTTCGCGAATACCAAATTGAAGTGCAGGAATTAGATGCCTTTTCCTTTTAAGTCAAGAAAACTATGAAAAGTTGTACTTTTGGCTAAGTTTCGGGAATGCGAAATTTTTTTATGGAAATACCAAGTATAGCCAACTTCTTCCCTTCCAAAGGCGTGAAAGTCTTTCTCTTCCCCTGCTTTCACCGGCGGAGACTCCATCTAAATTTTTGAAAGCAGGAGTATTCTTATCCATCCTGGCCCCATGACCTAGCCAGCGTAGCCGCTGTTTCTTGATTCGCTGAATTATGTCCATGTCGCCGTATCTCGTACAGCTCATCGTTCATACGGTATTCGGTTATCCCAACTCAAAAATAACCATACGTCTCGAAAACTCCTAACGCCGACTCATCGGATGTTGTTCATCCTTTCTTACGCTATAGTAGGACGAAAACGATGAGGAACCTGTAGAGTGTGGTTTTTGTTCGTCCGGAGAGGATTTTATTTGCAATTTTCTATCTCAAAGTTATGACTGTCAACACTGACAAGAATGTCAAGTTGCGAATGCGATGACTGCTTGTTTGATGACAGAAGATATTTCGTCTGTTTGGCTTATTTAATGAGAATCTGTACACTCCTATAGAATATTGTCCATTCTTTATTTACAAAAAATTAAGGACGCTTGTCTCACGATAATTGACGCAGACTGTGGGATCGACTTTTTTGTGGATTCGATAGACCAAATTATATTCCCATGTCGTTGTTGGCGTTGTAGCGGCTTCGGTAACCCCGCTTAAGAACAGGTTTCATATGAATTTAAGCCACCGATCGACGTCTAAAGGGAGGTCTAGGAAACCTGCTGTTTCGACGGAATCGGACCAAAGGGAGAGAAGGTAAGATGTGTCGGCTTCAAGGGCATGTGAAGAGGTTAGAAGTGTCGGGGAGAGGCTCCCTTCATGAGAGGCATACGTTGGATATGATGGTTCGGGTCTGGTTATGTAGGAGTTTCCACAGTACAGTATCAAGACCTAAGTTGTACCAATGTCCCGCGGGTCTCTCAAGGAAGATCAAGCTTGTTGTCTGCGATAGATGGTGCTTTACCTCCCAGCACGTCATTCACAGGAACGGAGTCTTTGAAGGTGTTGATTGACTCTTGGTGAATGGCGTTCAGTGCTTGTCTGCATGCGTTCCTGTCCAGCGGTTGTTGCATATGTTGCTGGTTTCTTCCCTTAAAAGTTAGTATTCCCCTTCTGATGTATCTAGGTGGAGGTGTAGCTTCTTATAAGCGCCTATTGAGGGGATTTCTGAGGTACAATCCCAATATGAATTGCTTGCACAGCAAAGCGCTCTGTTCCTTAACTCCTAGCATAGTTGCTTTCCTGTGCAAGTGATGCTACGGCGACATCAGTAGGTTTTCATGTCGCGGCCCTGAGGACAGTGTTCTGACAAGACTGTAACTCCTTCATATGTGGAAGGCAGACGAGGACTTCGTTGATTGTATCTTAAGCTGTTTTGCAGTGAAGAAGTGGGAGAGGTCGGCGAGATAGCTGTTCACCTTCGAACAAAGGTCATCAATTTCCTGGCCAGACGCAATTATCATGCAATCATTGGCATACGAGGTTAGGGAATCTCTTCCTGGTAGAGAACGGAGTTTCGAAATGTAAAAATTAAACAGTAGCGGGGAGAGGAGACCACCCTGCGGAATATTACCGATGATTGTTGATCACTTAGGTGGCCCATTAGCCGCCTCTGCAACTGCGGCGGTAATAAGGTTTTCTCAATGGCCTTTAGCAGCACTGAATGGTTGACTGTGTCACAAGCATTTGACAAATCCAGTGCTGCCAGAACAGTTCGCGTGGTGCTGGACGCAGATGGGGAGTGAAAGTCGGGAGCAGCAAGGCCTCAATCGTCTTCGCTATTCGGCCGGTAAGACTCTCCTTCGCTGGCGGGTTTCCCCGGCTTCAGTAGCGGGACCACCCTACCCATTTTCCACCCATCGGGTATCATAAGGGTGAGCAAAGACAAATTGATGGCCTTGGTGAGGAAGTCTGCTCCCGCTGGTCCAAGGTATTTTAGCATCAGCATGTTTATGTCGTCTTTCGCCTTCTCGATGACCCCCTCAACCTTTTTCCTGGAGAGATCAAGGGCCGCGCTGGCGTGTGTCACTTCGCTTTGTCTACCAAAGGATGCAGTATGAAAAGTCGGCTAAATTAGCTTGCGCATTTTTTGGGTCTGACGAGGCGCGGTCACCGAATGAAATTTCAACTCGGCCATCGTGTCTCGTCGGACCAGTTTGATGGAGTGGGCAGAAAACTGAAGATTTTCTCAGTAAAATCCGTGAAACAGGACCAGTTAGCTATTTTAAAGTTAAAAAATGTCCGGTGGTCCGCGGAAATTAAGTAGGGGGCTCTGTCAATTGAGATTTGTATGGATAATTGGTCCAATGGTACTTTCAGTATAGGTCTCCAGGTTATACAGTGCTGTCATTCAATGTGCAGAATGTTGAATAGTCTATCTGTTCCGCTAGCTCTATTGCTCTACGATCATTTGACAGGCTAGAATACCAAAGAGCGAGGTTCGCGTTGAAGTCCGCCAAAACCAAGCGGTTTTCACCTCTGAATAGCGCACCAATATCAGCGCGGTATCCAACAGGACAACTTGTAACTGGAGGAATGTCCTACATACTCCAGTCTCATGTAGTCCACTATCTCGTCGATCTTTCCCTGGAAACCGTTACAGCTAAACTGTTATAGTCGTGTCTGTATCGGGAGACGTTCTTGATATGGGGAGTAAGGGAGTGATGTGTGGATGTAGTGTGTTGTTGCTGTACTACCCGCTAGATTGGTTGCAGCACATTGGTTTTGGTTGGCGGAGTTGTTGTAGATACAGACGAGGGCAGACACCAACAATATGGGGCAACATCTGTGGGTATGAAAGGACAGCTGTTAAAAAACACAAGAAAGTCTTGGTGTGATGTTAGAAAGCTACAATCACTA